TAAAATATCAGTTTATGATAAAATTTGGAAAATTTATAAAAAAAATTATTTCATGTTTAAAAATTTCTAAAACAAGTGTTACCATAAAAAAATAAAATTCTTATTCCCTTTCAAATAGAAGTATTAAAAAATTTCTCTCCAATTCAAATTATATTTTTTGTCTTTTATTTTAAATTTTTAATCTTACCTTTGTTTCTTTAATCATTCATTTAATAATAATATAAATAATTATTTCAAAATCATCTTAACTTTGTAAATAAAAAAAAAATTAAATAAGAGTGTTTTAATCAAGGTATAATAACATTTGTTAATGAAATCTTAATCTATATACATGAACCTTTTCAGAGATAATAGCTTTAGAATGGAAAGGGAGGAGTATTTAAAATAAATTTATGATTTAATTTTTAGTTTGAACTGCAATTTTGTAAACATTTTTGCAAAAAATATTTATGTGGACTAACTCTTCCAAAATTGAAATCTTGATTAAGAAGAATCAAACCTATTAAATCAATTTTAGTTGAATCTATTATTTGATTTAGAGGAGTTTGAAGGAGAAAGGAAAAAAACAAAAAAAAAAAGTCATAATTTGTATTTTATAGCTTTTATTTGATTTAGAGGACTTTGAAGGAGAAAGACAAAAACAAAAAAAAGAGAGTCATAATTTGTATTTTATAGCTTTTATCTACTTTTTATTATTATTAGAATTTTTTTCTTTTTTTTTATATTACAATTTTTTTTTTGTTTTTCAAATTATTTAATCTAAATTCGACTCAAATCACACATTTAAATGTGATGAATCAATAAATTATTAAGATTTTTTTACATAAATAAAAATTTAAATTCAAAACATTATTTAAACAATATTAAATCGCTTGCCCTTTTATCTGATGAAACTTCTTTGAACCAATAGATTTATTATAATAGCCATTCTTACAAATAGTTTTAATATAAATTCTTTATTTTATATCATATATTAATTAGTTATTTTTTATTTATCTTAAATTATTCTTTATATTAAAATATTAAAAAATATTTAATATTTTTCAAAAATAATCTTATTTATTAAGAATTCTTTTTGTAACTAATATAATAATTCCATTACTTATTCTAATGTAATAATTTCAGAATTAATGATAGGAATATTCTGATAAATTTAATTTATTTTACTATGATAATTTATAAAATTAATTCTTTTCTTAAAATAAGTATATTAATATTATAAATAACATATACCATTAGACGTAACGAGTAATTAATATACATACACTAACACACAATTAAACTTTGTACCGGGGCATATCGATGTAAGATTTCTCTAAAACATACCAAAATTTAATGGTAAATTTAAAACATACCAATTAAAATTCTGAAGTATTCAATATTTACTTTTAGAGTAAGTAGACTATTTTTAAAAACATACTAATACTTTTTCTATTTCAAATCCTATCTATATGTTTATAAATTTAAATCATGTTCATATGATAAATTTAAAATAAAATTAAATAAAAAGATGTTAATAGATCTTAAAAAAATGTTTTTACATTTATAATATATTCATAAAAAATATTTTTAATATAAAAGTATAATGTAACCGAGATTTTTCATATAGCATGTGTAACTCATCAAATATTAATCCTTACATGTTCAGTTAAAAATATTTTTAACGTGATTTAATATTTTATAAACAACTTTTTTTAAAGAAAGAGACATATAATCCTTAATTTTATTTTTAAATTTTAAATTATATGCGTGCATATATATATATATATATATAATTTTTTAAAAATAAATTAAGTTTATAAAGTTTTGTAAAATTTAATTTGATAATTTATTGAATGATTTTATTTTAATATATAATATTTTTTTGCTATTAATATATGATATATTTTATAAAATATAAATAAATACTAGTTCTAAAATTATATTCATATCAACATTCAAATTTTTTAAAATTATATATATATATATATATATATTATAAAATAATATTATAATATTTAATAATTTAATTAAATATTTTTTTATTTATAAAAGGTTATAAAATAGAATAAATTTATATAGCACATGAAATTGTATATGTATGTATGTGAGTTATGCTCTATTAACATTAAATGTCAAATTTATATATTTATATATTTTAATAATTTTTTATAGAAGTTAAACTTAACTAATTTAATAATTAAATTATTTTATATTATATTTATAATTATATATGTGTTTTATATAACTTAGAGTAAGTATGTATTTAAAATTTGATAATTATTTATATTTTACAAATATAATAATTGTTAAAATAAAATAATATGATAAGATACCTTATTAATTTTATATATATAAGAAATTATTAAACAGTATATATACTAGTTTGAGACTAAATTTTAATGAATATGTGTCAAGTGCCTGTAAGTTAATACAAAACAATTTAAAATTTTAATTATTTATATCTTATTACAAACAATTCCAAATTCGTTTCTCAATATTTTATTTATGGAAAAATTTCATTAATACTTTTTTCATAATTCAATTTTTTATGTTAATTTATTACAACCATATTATGGTAAGAATTTGTTAATATTTTATCATATGTTCAGACTTTTGAGTTAATTACAAATATTAATTATTCTTTTATAACTTCATGTAATTAATAAAATAATATTTTCCTGCATTAAATAAAATCATCTATTCCTGTATTAAATAATTTGGATTTTTAAATTTTTATTATTTAAAATATTACATGCATGAATCAATTAAAACTAAAAAAAAATGTATCTTCTAATATTAATTTAATCAACTTGAAAATTGTAGCTTTATTAGTTATATTTTATATAAAAATTGTAATTTCTTTAATAAAAATTTAATCATATGATGTAATTTTTTATTGGATTATAACTATTAATAAGAACTGACTAAAAGTTTTGAATTTAATTGCACCCAAAAAACGGCTTTAATAATTTATTTATTGTAAAAATATCTTTCTAATACTTTTCGTAAAATATTTATATTGAATGCTTTAATTTAATTTCTTAATCAATTGCTAAGGACAGAATTAATGCCATTTTTTTTTTGTTACAAATAAGCTTTATTTAAATTGTTTTCCTTGTTTATTTTTCTTATATATATATATATATATATATATATATATATTTATAAGAAACATTTTTTTAAAATGTCAAATAATGGAATAAAAACCTTTCTATTTGTTATTGGAAACTGATTTTACGTAGACGAGAGAAAAGGTGATGAGGTAAATAATTAGGGAAAAATGAAAATATCACCCGCTTGAGATGCATTATAAGACTTGGAGAATATCTGAAAATTAATGAGGGATATGCTTGACCAAATACAAGAGAAGTTAGAATGAATTATGATAATTTGATTTTTTCACTAAACATTTATAAGCGAAGAAAATAAATTGATTTATATATTTTAACTTTTTTAAAAAAAATTCTTCATCTAACAATTTCATAAATTGATGTGTATGAATTAATTTTAAATTATAAAAAAATTATTTCATTCTATTTTTTTATTTTTATAAATATTTGCTGAAATTTTTATTTAAACTAGCTTTATACGTGTAATTTACCAAAACAAAAATAAATTTACTATACGTAGATAGGGATTTTTGCCATGTCATTTATTGTAAGAAGTGTCATACTGTATATAGAAAAAAAAATGTTGCCATATATAAATCAACAGTGCATTTGGATGAGATATTTTAAGTAAGTAATTTATTTTTTAAAATAATTTATAATTTTATAGAGTAAAATTTATTATTTAAATATTTAATTTAAAAATTTAGAAATTTTAGTGAAAAATTTTAATTTTAAATCTTAAAAAAAATTATATTTAAATTTTTTATATAAAAAATTAATACAAAACTTATAACTAATAATTTTAAAATAAGCATGAATTAAGCTATCGTCATTCAAACATAAACTAAAATGATCAAATTAATGTGTGTTAAATTTAGTTTATTTTTAAAATAATTATTTATGTTTATTATTTTTTGGGACCATTTTTCATGAAAAAATATAAAATTATCTGCAATTAAATATACTCTGTTATTATTCTACTTATTAATTGTTATTATTTAATATATATTATTATTAATTTTTATCCTACTTGACACATTATATATATAGTCATTGTATATTCATTTAAAATTTTATCTAATTTAATTTTTAATAATTTATTAATTAATACAATATATAATATTAAAATATGTATTAAATTATTATTAATTGAATTGTAATTTAATTATAATTGAATTAATGAATCATAAATTAGTATTTTGATGACTTTAGTTACCTACACACCATTACATATATTTTTATATTTAAATATTTTTTATTATTTAATTACTTTTATATACCATATTTCTCAAGATATCCTTAAAAGAAACAAATACGAACCTTATGAAGGAAACTTTCGTATTTAGCCCTTAACTGAGGTGGAGAAGAAACAGAATATAGGCCATTATATTTATGGAATAAGGGCAATGGGGGTTGACGTATATATGGAAAAATAAATTAAAATTAATGATAATGATTTTTTTTTTAGGAAAATTTAATGATAATAGCGAACAATTTACAATAACACTATTCTATTTTTTTTATTATAAATAATTATATATGCATATATATATATATATATATATAATCTTACATTAATGTAATTTTTATTTAATAATAATTAATTTCACATGCACTTAAACTACAATCCTTCTACCGGCTCCTTGTACAATATGTGCCAGCTTTACATACAAATAATAATCACTTTCCTTTTATCATCACTCTCTGCGGTAGCCGTAATAGAAGAATTAGTGGTGTTGTATTTCCTTCATTTACATTTAAAGATCCATTTTCATTTCCTATAACACTGTGCATGTGTACCAAATCTACCTAGAGCAAAATTCTCCACTGTTTTATATAGCATAGGATCAGAGTCCATTAGTCAAATAATCTTAGTTTCCATTTCTTAACAAACCTGTATCCACTGCGATGGAAAACAAGAACAAAGACAACAACAACAGTGAAATTATGGTATCAAATTCTGAAGGAGTCTTTCATGGTTTCTCTCCCCAAAGGAAGACTAAGGAAGAAAAGGGTTTCGATTTAAATGAACCCTTAATGGATACAAGACTTGAGGCTTCTCCTCCTCGTATTGATATCAATATGGTTCCAGACTCTGAGGTACACGGTGCATTTTTTAATATATTTTTTACACTTCTATAGTAGATCAGATTTTTAAAAGTTAAAATACATATTATTTTGAAAATATATAATTTATTAAATAAGTATTTTAGCTTTTTAAAAACTGTAATAATCACAGGAAATATATCTAAAAATATGTTAAAAATGTGTTCGCTAACATTTAAAAAATGTTCCTTTTTGCTTACTCGTAATTCATAACGCAAATTTGCTGTTTATGCTATATACTATGAATAAATGTCAGCTTTGGTATTTACCTTTCAACAGTGGATTGACAAAAGAAAATTATCATTTGAAGGTTTCAAATGATTGTGAAAGTTGTGGAGAAAAGAGAATTTTTTTTTATAGATGATGTGATAGAAAAAAAACCAATAAAAAGATAATATATATATATATAATTGTGAATATAAAAATATAATAGTTGATTAATAATAATAAAAATAATAATGTTTCTCACTCAAAATTATAAATAGAGATAGACGAATTCCGTCTCTAATTTATCAAATTTGTATCATAAACATATTCAAAAATACTGTTAGAGACAAAAAATTATTTGTCGTTATATTACTTATTATAAATTAATGATGAGAATTTAATTTTATCTTTAACTAGTAAATATGCTTGTGCGTTGCACAGGTTTATTTTATTTTTATTAAATTTATTTATTTTAAAATATAAAATATATAATTTAAATATAAATATATAAATATAGTAAAAATTTTATTATATTAAATATAATTACCTTAAAGAAGATTATGAAATACTTTTTCATATATAATATTTTTTATATATTTTATATATAAATATGGTATATTTGAGATTTGATGATTGTTTTTAGCTATAATTTTTTTTGTGATATCTATATGTCTATCTTTGTAATCTAATATTTGATATATCACATAGTTTTATATATATATATAAAATATTTAGTGAACATAATTTAAATTTTTTTTTAAATAAAAATATATAATTTTAAAAATATAACATAATAAATAATTATATTAATAAATATATTTGTATTGAATTAATATTTTTATGTATAATACTCATATTTTGATTTATATCCTGAGAACTAAATTTAAGTCCATAAACTCATAGAATTTTTTTATTAGAAAGTATTGTTATCTATATATTATAACATTAAAAAAATTACAATATAATATCATCATCATTATAACATTTTATAAAAAAAAATTGCAACAAAATTATTAAGTAAAAATATTGTTAATTTTTTAATTTAAAAAAATTAAATTTGTTATTGTAATTATTATAATATAAATAATAAATAAAATATTATCTACATTAATAGGTTATACATAATTATGATAAGTCAATTTCTATTAAATTATTTTAAAAAAATAAAATAATAGAAGTGGAGAAAAAATAGTAGTTAAAATTTTTTTATTTAAGATTTAGGTAGAAATTAAAAGAAAATAATAATTTTATTTAATATACAAATTAATCTTTATATCAATTAAAATTACATATGTTGATATAATATAAAATTTATGAGTCACATATAAAATTTAAACAAATTTTATATTAAGAACAAAGTTAATACATAATATTAATATATATATATATATATATATATATATATATATAATAAGATAACAAAATTATTTTATAAAAAACTTAAATGTTTGATGATATTTTACTTTTAAAGTCTGCATAATGTTAAAAATATTTATACAATATTACAATAAAAATGATTTAATCTTCTAAATCTTCCATTGTTACCTTTTATTCACCATTTTCTGCTTCATCTTCATCAAGTTACGACTTAAAAGAAAATATCAAATATAAATTACTATATGATCTAAGAAATTTAAACAATACATTACAAATTTATAATTTATACATTAATTTTCTCCTTCTTTTTGGTTTGGTGTTTCCACAGTTGGAGATATAAGTTTGATACAATCATCTGTTATTGAATTCAGATCGTTAAGAAAAGTTTATTTATTTTTATTGCAACTTGTTGTTCTCCTGCAAAAACATAAATAATAATGATAGATTTGATACAAATTAATCTGTTAAAAATAAAATTCAATACATAATATAATTTAAAAAAATACAGCTTTATGCTTGCTCAAAAAATTAAATTGAAATATATAACACAATTTAGTGAAATAAACTAAAAATATCAAACTCAAAAATACATATACTTACGTGGGTAGATAAATTTTAACAGCTAACATGATTGCAAAATATAAAAAAAAAAGATGATAATAGAAAGAACCGTGAGCAGTTTTCAAAAGTTGTATGACTTATATAAGTAGAGATAAAATTCTACTTATTAATATATGAAAATTCAGATAATAAAAAATGAATATAATAAAAGTTCTCTTTTTATTTGTATTATAGTTTACTTGTTTTTTCATTAGAAATTTAATTTAATAATATATAATATAAAAGAATAATTAACATTCAAATATTCAATAAAAGTTAAAAACAAAGATATATTTTTATTTATAATTAAAAGATAACTCGAGAGTTTTATTAAATTTTTTCAAAAATATTTTTGTATAATTTAATTAATATTCTTTTTTCTATTTTTAACATTTAACTTAGAAAATTTTAAAATTTGTTTAAATTATTTATAATAATTTATAATAATTTTTTATTAAATATTATTTATAGTAGTTTTGTTATTATTATTTTTAACATTATATTATTATCAATTCTAATAAATTTTTCTTAAATACAATTTAAAAATAATAAGTATAAATTAATTATGATTATAATTTTTAAATTATGAAAGTAACTTTAAATTATCTTATTTGATCTTAACAATATATAATATAAACTAATAATTATGTAAGTATAATTTTTTTTTTAAAGTAAGTTTTAATTTTTGAAATATATATTAAACTATATATTATATTAACACAATTAATAAAATAATTTAAATTTGTAAACTTGTCTTTTCATTAGAAATTTAATTTAACAATATATATTATAAACTAATAATTTGATAAATGTAGTATTTTTAATTCAAATTACAATTTATTATTGTTAATAAATATTAAAAAATAGATTATATTAAAATATTTAATAAAATAATTTAAATATGTAAAATTATATTTTGATTAGAAATTTAATTTAACAATATATAATATAAATAAATAATTTTATAAATGTTTTTTATTTAAATTATATTTTAATATTTTAAGTACATATTAAAATATAGATTATGTTAAACTAATTAATAAAATAATTTAAATATGTAATTTTATCTTTTATTATAAATTTAATTTAACAACATATAATATAAACTAATTAGTTTAATTTTTTTAATTTAAAATATATTTTAGTGTTTGAAGTATATAATAAAATATAAATTATATTAAAATACAGTAATAATTTTAATTCATAAATTATAAAAATATTATAATTAATTTTAATAACAATAATTTAAGCTAATTTATAATATAAATTTTTATGTTGTCATTTGTAATATAATATAACCGTTAATATTAATAAACATTCTTTAAATATAATTTAAAAATAATAAGTGTGAATAAAATATAATTTTAATTCGTAAGTTATACATTTTGATTTTTAATGTACAAAGTAATAAGTAAGTGTAATTATTGCAAATGACTTTATATATTCTGAATTTTAATTTATAGAGTAATAAGCAGATGAAGTTACATATATAAAAATAACTTTTTATGTTTCAAAATTTAATACACTCAGTAATGATTAGGTACAGTCAATTTTACATAGATATATAGATTATAGATTAGATATATAAATTTTCATTTCTATTTATTAGTTTTTGTCTGGGCTTAATTTTGTCTCCAACGGATAAATTTTTTTTGTCTCTCTTCTACATAAATTTTATCTCTAAAGACAAATTTATAATTTTGCCTCTAAATTTAATGACATTTCTGATTCAACGTCTTCTCTCTGAACAAATATTTCGTCTCAATTGTTGTCTTTGAACTAAGTGAAAAACTCATCTCTAAATTTTTCAGTTTCATTGTATCTCTATTTATGCGTATAGTCGATAATTGTTTTTTAATTTTATACTTACATATTTAAAACTTATCATTCATAATTACTGTTAAATTTAAACAGTTTATCATTTTCAATAATGATTAAGGGTCAGAGAGTACTGAAATCATTAAAAAGAATTTGTATGAGTGTAATGCGTTGTTATATAACACAAGTCTCTCAAACTTTTGCTAAAAAGCCTCTCAAATTTTATAATAAGCAATGTCAATGGTAAGTTCCAAGTCAATTGACTAAAGAGTTTTAATATTGCAAAAAGAATTTTTGGTTCTAATACATAAAATAATTTTTTTCTTTTATTTATTAAATTCTGTGTCTAATAAAGAAATATTGTTGCTATTTTTTTTCTACTATACAAGATTATTTTTGTCTCTACTTTATGTCACTATTTCAGTAGTGGGTGGTCTGAATAGGAAATTTTTTCTTATCGTTTCAGCATTTCAACTTGCAACTTGAAAAATTTAAAATGCGATTTGCTGAAAATTTAAACAAATACCCGATCAGGCTTCAGTCTAATATTATTTATTATTTTTCTCATATTAGTAAACATGTGAAACCTTCCGAACAAACCAATATTTCTCATAAAAATGCACGTGTAATTTAGTATATATGAATCGATCTGGTTTTTGCTGATGCTTGTGGCATGCAGATGGGAGAATTTGAAGACCAATCTGCTTGTGGCATGCAGATGGGAGAATTTGAAGACCAATCCGAAGGGCATGCTAGGAAAGATAGTGAACAAGTGCATTCGTCCAATGATGCGAAAAGGGTCAAGCTTAATATTGATCTTAATGCTAAAATGGGTGATGCTGAAGCGCCAATTTGTTGTTCTGAGGAAACACATTCGTTTGACTTGGAGGTGAATCCAGATCTTCCTCATACAGTCTCAAACAATATTGGTAACGAAGAGGAAGCCACTCAAGAAAACTTGTCACCTCAAGAGGATGCTGTTGATGATGGAGCTGAGTCTGGAAGAAGGTTTTGTAGTGCTTTTAATCTCATAATTTGATAACAAATTAAGATAATTTATATTTTGTTAATTACTTTCAGTATTGATTTTGCATTTCAGGAAGAGAAAGAGAACGGAGGAAAATACTTCTAGGGGAATCCGTGAGCCAAGAGTTGTAGTGCAAATTGAGAGCGAAGCGACCGTACTGGCTGATGGTTATCGCTGGCGCAAGTATGGACAGAAGGTTATCAAGGGAAATCCAAACCCTAGGTATTGTGATATCTCTTTTCTTACAGTGCTCATGGATGATATATTTCTACCTCCAATGTAACGTGATGAAGTGTGTTATTTTTGTCTAGTTGCTCGTAGCAATGCTTCTTGCACAGTTTGATTTTACTCATGGTTATTTCACTATTTGCATCCATTTATCACTTTCTTTTACAGCTTATTTTGGGTTTTCATGATTTATCTTGTTTTACTAACCTATTTTAACGGTTTTAAATTTTAAAAATTGTATGTAGTGTATTTTGAGGATAAATTTAAATTATACTTCATGTTATCTCAATTTGACCTAATATTTTGTGTATGTTTTAATAATAAAGTCTCTTGACTTCATAAATAACCTTTTGGGTGTATTTTGTAATGTTTGTATGTAAAAAAGTAACTATATACTGTGTCAATTTTTAATTATTCAAATAAAATGTGTTTCTGTTAAAAAATTGAAAAGTATAAAATATTTATTTTGTTTTTAAAATTTGTTAATTAATAAGTTAGAAAACAATTTTTTGTCCTTACAATAAAATATACCCAACGTATTCTTTCCTTTATTAAAAACTCTCTTCTTAAAGTACTTCTCTCTTAACCCTTCTCCCTTTTTCCCCCCTCTTCTTCTCTCACTCAAAATTGTTTGTGTAGCAACGACCACCAAATAAAGGATAATAAAATTAATATTATAACTCAGTTATCTGTATAGTGTTGTTTTACTTTATAATATCCCTTGCATTTAACAAAACCTTCATTCTATGTATTAATTGTTCCAAATTTAGTTTAAAAATGAATTACCAGAGGAAACTTATTAACTGAAAATTAAAAAATAGGAAGTCAAATTTTATCCCGGACGTAAAAAAATATTTAATCGTTTCTTTCTACTCTCAATTCCCCTCTTTCCCAAATCCTTCCCTCAACAATTCTCCTCCACGTTTTCTTCTCCTTCTCTCTCTAAATTGTTCCACTAGCATTGAACATGCATGCATCAAACGCATCCTCTTTCTCTATATTGTTTATTGACATTGGTTTCCACATTTATAACAATCATGCTGTTTTGCATATAACGAGTTTGCGTGGTTTCTTTTCTAGGAGCTACTACAAATGCACAACTGCTGGATGCTCCGTAAGGAAGCACGTGGAAAGGGATTCACGCAATTTGAAATATGTAACTACTACTTATGAGGGAAGACACAATCATGGATTGCCACCTCCTAAAAACAAAAATCAGCAAGTTGATAATAATGATGGTGGTGGTGTTGGCGGTAATGCTCTGGTGACTATTGCATTACCTGGAAATATCGGTGTCTCGAAACCTAAAGCTCAAGGGCAAACTGGGGCACCTAGTTTTCACACAAACCCTGGATTTAACAATGAGTTTCTGAGGACCGGTTTTGAAAGCTTCAACAATGACATGAATATTGGGTCTTCCTCCACCCACCAAATGTCCTCTTCTTCCTTGAATAATAGTAACATCATTCCTTATAGCTCCTATGGACTTAGTCTTAACCCTTTTGCTACCCCTCATGCTGAATCTATTCCCTCACTGTTTCCTGAACGTCCAATGTCATCACTACTTGATGTTCCTTCTTCTTCTTCTTCTCAGCCTAGACTTAATTTTAATGGGTCTAATCCAGGGTTTCCTTTCAGGGCAACAACAGATGAAAGAGACTGGTACTGGGTTCCTGAGGCTTAAACTGGAGCAAAGAGAATGATGATGTTGATTTAGGGTATGTGCATGCATATGCATACCCGCTAGGTTGATCCTCGATTCGTCATGCAAATGCTTCTTTACACCCTCAGCGTCATTGTCAGTTCGTACTATGCAAAAAATATCGTTGAATTTACCTTTTCTTTAAATATCGGTTTCAGCACATGAACAAATTCTGTTGGCTTTCATTTAGTATTAATTTAAATAAGAGTATTTTGTTCCGTCGTTGTTGTTTTAGTTTTTCTGAGATGAGTAGAACCATGGTATGAAGAAGCAGGCTTATACAAACTGCATGCATGCTATATAATATGTTTACTAAATTAAAGGTCTGGTTTGTATATTTGACGTGGTTTTAATTTTTTTTTATATAAAATTTGTATGTTTTAAGTTTTGTATGAAAAATTATTTATAATTTGATTTATATATTAGATGTTTGTTGAAACTGATTTTGTGAATATTGAGCAATAATCTCCCTAGTGAGACTAAAACGCAGGTTTTAAGTGTGAATTGTTCTAACATGCATGCCGCAGCTAGTTTATTGATTGTAATGCTCTTATTATTAATCTACACCAATTTACGGCTCCCCAACTTCGACCTAAAAGGTCTTATAATTTAGTCTAGATTCATCAACTAATGTAAATTTATAGCCAATAAACTTTCTCGTGGATAAGATATCAAACAATAATGCTCACACAAGATAGTAAAATGGGGTTCACTTGCTCAGTCAATTTTTTAATCTGTCATTTTTTGCAAGTTAGATTACAAATGTTAACCTATCAGCCCACGTCTATCTATCTATTGATCTATCGAATACATGAAAAATTTACTGCACTTTATTATTAAATGTTATGCTTATTAAATATAATATGTATTTAACTTAAACAATATTTTTAAATATAATATTCATTAATTACAATATATTTATTAGATGTATGCTTTTTTATATTACATAAATTATTAAAACCTTATTCCTAAACAGAAAGGTAATTATTATAAATTTAATATTTAAACATATATAATAAAAAAGGTTTATTTTTATTATTATTTAGAATAAATTTAATTCTATAAACATATTTTAAAAATTTATATTATATTTATATAATGCTTTGTTTCCTAATTTTAAATTATATTATTTTAAATATATTCTTATGAGCTACATTAAATTTAAACATATATGGAATATATAATCATTAATCATTACTATTTATAAAACATTACTTACTATTTCATTCATATTAATATAATTTTACATTATTGAATTTTTATATCTTGAAAATTTAATATAAACATTAATTTTCATTATACTTTAATTTTATGCATTTAATTTAACTTATTTTTGAGAAATGATAATTTTTTTGTCAATATTTTTAGAAAATATATTTATTTTCAAAATTTAATGTAAAACAAGCATAAAATAAATTTTTCAATTAATAAAAAGATTAATTTTAAAACCCTGAATAAGATCTTTAACACTCGAACAAGCAAGTTGATCTTATCCATTTAACACTCTATACACAAACAAAGAGATTATTGACATGGCGTCATGCTTATGATCATAAGCACAATTTTTTAACAGTTATACTACACTTGTGTACTATATGGTATTTAAAAAAAAAACAAGTTTAAATTGTCTTCATTTTTTCTATTTTTTTAATTTATTTTCTTATTCAATCATTAAAATTATTACAATATAAACTATATTTTAAACTTATTAATATATTTAATTTTTAAAAAATACAAATATTATTAAGAATGTCCATCAGATCGGATAAACTAATGAAATCGATAATCCAAATTGATTCAAACTGAAAAATAATCAAAATTAACACTTAGCGGGTCTGATATGATATAAATCCATCAAATCCAATGCAGTTTGATTTGGATAATAGATTGACATTGTGCCAACCTGTAGACTTGATGATATACTTGATTAATCTATTGACTTGCGTTAATTTTTTTTTTTTAAATACACCTTCACATGCAGTGAACTTTTTTGAATTTTTTTTATCTTAAATTAAAACTTATTTTAAATTTGTGTATTTGTTTTTCTCCCAAATTTAAACCAAACTAGATCATGGACACTCCTAAATATTATATCCAATTTTTAAAGAAAAAGAAGATTCATATTATACCCACATCCCATTCTTACTTTAGGTATGTTTTGAAGAGAGTTTTTGGGAAAAAAAAGAAAAGGAAGACTTATTTTTTAATTTTATATTAAAAAATTATAATTATTTAAATGGTAAATATATTATTAATATATTAAATTTTTATTATTATATTAATTTATATATTTTATTTTTAAAAATTATTAATTTTAAATATGTTTATTTAAAATATAAAAATAAACCTTTCTTTCCATTCCCTTCTAAAAACCCTTTACCAAACATACCCTTGGTTACGGAGCAAAGCACTATGGATCCACCCAATTTATCATCTCAAGTACGAACCGTCTGGAACCCAGTTCTAACGAAGCAAAGCATTATTCCTCATCCTTTATTTTTATTTCATAGGCACGGGACATAAGTCATTGACGTGAATTCGTGAGAATGACTAATATAGTATGGATAGATGAACGAGAAGGTCACTATTGTTAAAATCAAAATACTAGATTGCAATTAAAATACAAAAACGAAAAGTACTGTCACAGTAATAATGTTACTATTATATATCTAATTAATTTTTAATACAAAAAGAAAGTATTATGTCATAATAATAATGTTATTAATACATTAGGTATCTAAATATTAATATATTAAAGGAATTTTTAATGTGACATTTATAATCAATATTACTTTCAAAATTTGAAATTTACACCTAAATAATAAAATTAAAAGTAAATTTAAAATTCTATTTTCACACTTTAATTCTTGGGATAACTCGAGTATAAAATTTACAATTCTAAATCAATTCCAACTATGATAAAATTAAAATGGAACTTAAAATTTTAAACTGTAATTTTGATTCTGTTAATCCAAACATATCCTACTTGAAAAAACGCATGGAAAGAAAGCAAGGACACAATATTGGATATTATTAAGTTTATGGTAATGTACATTGAGAATAGACAACTTGATAACGAATAATAAAGAGAGAAAAAAAACAATATTGTAAAAAATGGGTATGAATAACAATAGACCTAATGCTGATTAGCATAACTAAAATCAAGGACAGACCATGTACGAACAACTGCACCGAAAAGCTAAACTAATGTCAATTGGGGTTTGCGTAAATTCTCATCTTTATAAAGCAACCGCGGCTTCTTTGAAGCACGACCTAGGTACCGGTATATGATGCTGTTAAGACACTGCCTTAGGCTTAAGATGTTAAACGTTTCTATGAACCTTAAATCTGTGACCCTTGATTTAGCACCAGCAAATCGCTCATACTCCTCGAACACAGAAGATAAACACCAATTCTGCAATTTTCTCAAGCAACCAACAACGCAACCAGTTCGATGCTGCATAGAGAAAAAAAAAATCAGATGTCAGAATTAATTTATAAGAAAATAAAACCAATAAGAAATAATTTGGGACATAAATGCGTGTGTTTATATGTACACACAAACACATGCATATATACCTTTCCCCGATTGCAGTGGATCAAAACTGGGTGATTTCTCACATCTGAAACCGCAAAAAATGATGCAAGTTAAAAAGATATATGACAAACAAGAGACAACTAACACTTGAATAAGAGTGATATAATAAATAAGTACCAATTAAAACTTTGAGAGCCTCCAAGATAGTATCCTTGACGGCTGAGACAGAAAGATCCTGCAAATACAAAAAGACTAATTAGTCATTAACATCAAGTCAATGTCTTTTAACTTTATAATGAAATCTAGTGTACAATAATAGAATAGAACGATTTCATAAAAAATATATCATATAATACTGAGAAAAGTCTATTCTGCAAGCAAACAATTAAATTAATCGCTTAGGATTAGTTAAGTGAATTGATGACAGAATTTACATCCAACATATCACAACTTTAAATTTTCACTCAATTTTCTAGATAACATAAATATTGGAAGTTCTAAATACCTGGACTTTTTTCTATCTTAAATTAAGGCACTATTTTCTTCTCTTAATTTTTTTTAATCCAAAAACGAACAATCAATTAATATTATTTTTGTTTTTATTTATCTATACAGAAGAAATGTTCTATTTATTTCTTCTAATAAAAATTCAAAATAATATTAAGCGTGCATTTAGATACATAATCAATTAATTAATTAATTGTTAAATAAGTTGGTCTTCTTAAGTAGTGACCTGCTTCATAAATTTTAGTATATATATATTTTTTAAATAAATTAAAAATAACTTATTTTAGTAAATTATAGCAAGAAACAATTTTAAAAAAATCTTATAAATAAGCTCTAAATATTATTATTATTTTACTAATATTCATTGTTCATATAAAATATTTATATTATTTGAATAGTTCAAAATTTTAAAAATATTAATAAATAATAAATTTAATTATTAATTTTTAAAAAATAATTAAACACTTTGGTCTTTGTAAATTTTTTTAATAAATGAATAAAAATAGATGTAATATATGAGATAGATGTTAATTACCGTCTTGCCTTCAATACCAAAGTGAAAGAGCTGAATATTGTGTGATCGAAGGAACTCTAAATTTTGTGGTGAATAGGGTTCGGGGCACAAGTATCTGCACTCACCAATATGGAACCTCGTGAGTGTTCATGTACTGATAACAGAATGATGAGAGAACTCAAAAAGAGAAAGCGTAACTTACATGATCGATCGAAGATTGAGAGTTTTGAGGAAAGCGAAATTGGAAGGTTGTGGCAAGCTTGAGCGATAAATGCCCTCATCAACCATTGAAAAGTTGTTTGGAGCAACCAGAACTTCCTCTTCCTCTTCCATCGATATCACCACTCCAACCATCGTCACCAAACCTTTTGTTGAAACTTTTGAATAATTTTAACTGCCAAGCTCTAAGGCTTCTCCTTATATATTGATAAATGGTTACACGTTTTTGGATTGTCATTGTAGACCAAATCAAGTTGGAAATTTTGAAAACGATGTCTACATGCGGCTTACAAAAATTTTCAGCTTTTTGGTTATTGTTATTTCTAAAATTATGCAGAATTACATTTATAGTTTTTATTATATGAATCGTTGACGTGGCTTGTTTACTATTGCTTATGTAGTCTTTTTCTATAAATATAAACTGTTGAAAGAGTCCAATATTCATTATTAAAATAGCCTCCTTCAATATTTAAAAAAATAAAAAGAGTTGAATTTGGACTTGTCGACCACTCGAGAGCCTCCTTTCTCCATCGATCTTTTTCTTACAACTTGGATGTTTCCTATAATGATATTTTTAATTATATAAATATGTGCCAATAGTTGTATACTCGTTTTCTTTTCAACCAAGAACAACGTAGTCAAAACTCATGAGTTCCATTGCATATGGATACGGTCAAGATCATGCGGTAAACACGTGCAAATTATTCTAAATTCAAAACGTGTCAAATCTAGAAAAAGAACAGTTTTAGCTAGCAAATCAGTGGATCAAGTCTTAGATGACCTCTGTCATCACCGATCGATTTTGACTGTGGTCAATATGTGCTTTAAGGATTGTATTATTATTATTATCCTATATTTTTCCAAAGAAAAGCACCGTCCTTGGTAATGGTTGATATAATCTGTGCAATTGTTATATCTTTCGGTCTACATCGATGCATTTAAAATTTTAATTAAGTCACAGATTACGGTTCATAGATCACGTATTCATAACATTAACTATTAAGATACTTTTTAATAAATGTAACGTGTCATCCATTTATCAGAAAAAAGAAAAAGAGAAATTAAGAAACCAATATTGGACGGACTGTGGGGTATGAGTCAACGCATATAGTGATTGAGTAAAAACAGGTAAAGAGGTGATCCACTAATTGGAACCTTGAAAAGTTGAAATCCAAGTGACATGGAAATGGGGGGTTTGCATGGAGGCTTCTCTAGTAAGAATTGAGTCCACTGCTACTTTTGGGGCGGCTCTGTTAGATTATTTTAATAATATTATTATAGTAATATATGTAACTTATAGCATAACTCTAATTAATAATTTAATATAATCATAGTTAAATATAAAATATAAAGTTATTAAAAATGTAATTATAAATATAATTATAAGAAAATCTGTCATTTTTCCTTCAAAAAATAAAAGAGCGGTTACCAAAAGAGAAGTTATAGCTTTCATTATTGAGAGTATCATTTTCACTGTTTTTAAGAGTACTCATGATAAACGTAAAAAATAAACTTTCTCTCAACTATCCAAGAGGAACTAGAGGAAGGAAGAGTTGGAAAAAATTACAAAGGTCTCAATGACATCAAAGAAAGAGGTAATATCGAGTAACAATGGATTCAGGTTAGTGCTCTCTAAACTCTTAATTGTGTGAGAATTATGTATTGTGTTGTAGGAACAACGTAATTCAAAATCGAATGGAAATGATAATTTCATAATAGTCATATCAAATGAAAATTCTAACAGTTAGTATCATTTCACAGCAGAATAAGGAACATAATTCATAAAAGTTATAGATCACTTTAGAATTATATCAAAGTGGATTTTACTCAACAAAGTAATTAAATTCTCAAGTTAATTAATTCTAAATTGTATGATCATAATGGAAACCTCACAATTTAGTACTTAATTTTAAGGGTAGCTTGTTAGTCGCCAAAGTGGTCTAACTTTAAAAGTTTGTTTAAGCATTTAATTGTGTGTTGTAAATTGTTCAAAATTGTTTGATGTTGTATGGTAACATAAATGGTGAAAAATTTAGTTCATTAATTATAACGCTAGGAGATCACCCATTACATATAATTAATGACACTAAGAAAACATGAAAATACTTCATAATATGTTTATATATCCAAATATGACTTGTATATTAGTTTGAGTGACTGGTTGTCAATTAAAGTTACTTTTTTAGCATCATTATAGATAAATTGTGTATTTAGGCATTACCCAAAGGTAAACTTAGATACATAATTAATGTTAGTTAGTTGTCTAAATTCATCAAGTTTATTCAAAGCATAAATGTTTAAGCATGTGTTAAATATTTCAGTTCCTATGAGTAATATGGCATGAGCAATGGCGTAGTCAAGTTCAATGGGCTCAATTATGATGATTGGGCTGAACAAGTTTGATTCCAGCTAGGTGTTATGGAGTTGGACCTAGCAATCATTATGAAACAAGAGCCTGCAGCCATCATAGAGACTAGTACTGAAGAGGAAAAGACTATTTGTGAAGCTTGGGAAAGGTCGAACAGGCTGAACTTGAGCTTGCTGAAGATGACTATGGCTGAAAATGTGAAGCCATCAATGCCAAAGACTGAAAATGTTAAGAAATTTATGACAAAGATAAAAGAGTATGCACAATCGGACATTACTGACAAGTCCGTTTCAGGTATCCTGTTGACTGAGTTGACTACTGAGAAGTTTGATTGGTCACGACCTATTCATAACCATGTGACTAACATGATCAATCAAGCAACAAAGTTGAAATCAATGGGCATGGAGGTGAAGGAATTCTTTCTAGTACAGTTCATTTTGAACTCACTCCCTCCGGAGTTTGGTCAGTTCCAGGTGAATTACAACACTATTAAGGATAAATGGAACATACAAGAAATTAAAGCTATGCTAGTTCAGGAGGAAGGGAGGCTGAAGAAGGTGAATAAACACTTCGTCCATCTCACATTTCATGAAGGGGCTAGTAGTAATAAGGCTAAATCAGGTAAAAATGACAAGAAGGACAAAAAGGATAAGGCCTTATTAAATGTTTGTGAAGGCCGAATCCAAAAGGGCCAGAGATGCTTCTTCTGTAAGAAGACTGGCCACTTCAAGAAAGATTGTCCGAAGAGAAATATTTAGTTCAAAAGGAAAGGTATATATTATGTTTCAGTATGCTTTGAATCAAATCCTATTAAGGTACTTAAAAACACCTGGTGGTTAGATTCTGGTGCAACTACTCATGTGTCACATGTAATGCAAGGATTTCTCCATAAGCGAAACTGAAAAGTTCTTATACATGGAGAACATAATGAAGGCACAGATAGAAGGAAGAGAGACTTACAGATTGGTCTTGCATACTGGTTGCTGCATAGATCTAAAAAAGTGTCTTTATGTTCTTGAATGTGCTAGAAATTTGGTTTCTGTTGCAAAGTTAGACGAATTTAGTTTTAATTTTAAGATTGGAAATTGTACTTTTTCTTTGTATAAACACTCATACCATTTTAAATCTGGTACATTAATTGATGATTTATATCATTTTAATCTTAATGTTAAATTTGTTGAATCTCTATTTTATGTTGATAATACTGTTAGTAGTAATTTGAATGTGCGTAATGAATGCTCTGCTTTCTTATGGCATCCAAGGTTAGGTCACATATCCAAAGAAAGGATGATGAGGTTAATGAAAAGTGAAATTTTACCTCAGTTAGATTTTGCTAACTATGATGTATGTGTGGATTGTATTAAAGTAAAACAAACTAAATACACATAAAAAAATCCAGCCACAAGAAGCAGCCAACTCTTAGAATTGATACACACTAATATTTGTGGTCCATTTGACATCCCATCTTATGGTGGTGAAAGATATTTCATTACCTTTATTGATGACTACTCACGTTATTGCTATCTGTATGTGTTGCATGAAAAATCTCAATCAGTAGATATCTTACAGGTGTTCATTGATGAGGTAAAAGACAATTAGATAGAAAGGTAAAGGTTGTGAGGTCAGATAGAGGTAATGAATATTATAGAAAATTTGATGAAAGTGGACAATGTCGAGGTCCATTTGCGAAACTTCTAGAAAGTCGAGGTATATGTGCATAGTATATTGTGCCTGCATAGTATACTGTGTCTGGTACACCACAACAAAATAGTGTGACTGAAAGGCAGAATTGTATTATCATTGAAATGGTTAGGAGTATGTTGAGTTACAGTTCTGTACCTATGTCTCTGTGAATGTACGCATTAAAGACCATTGCGTATCTGCTTAATAGAGTTCCTAGTAAGGTAATTCCAAAGACTCTTTATGAACTGTGGACAGGAAAGAAACCTAGTTTAAGATATCTTCATGTCTGGGATTGTCTAGCAGAAGTAAAAGTGTACAATCCACAAGAAAAAAAGCTTGATGCTAGAACTATTAATGGTTATTTCATTGGCTCCTAAGAAATTAAAGGGGTACAGATTCTACTGTCCTAATCATAGTATAAGAATAGTTGAGTCTGGAAATGCAAGGTTCATTGAAAATGGTTAGTTTAGTGGGAGTGGTGAAATACGAAAGGTGAAAATTAAAGAGACACATGCGAAAACTCTGGCAGTTGGTGTCTTTTTTCAAGTTATTATTCCTTTTGTTGTATCACGGTCACACAACATAAAAAGACAACAAGTTAATGTTCCAAACCCACAAGAACAACATATAGATGATGAACCAGCTGACAATGCGAAAGTCACAAACGAGTAAGAGGAAGGTGAACCACAAAAGATAACATTAAGGAGGTCTGTAAGGCAAAAAAGACCTACTATTTCAAATAATTATGTGGTTTACTCACTTAAGCATAAATGTGACTTGAGTATTGATGAAGATTCAGTCTCATTTAAGCAAGCCATAGAATGTAACAATTCTGAAAAGTGGTTGAATGCAATGAAATAAGAGTTAAAATCAATGAGTGACAACAAGGTATAGGATCTAGTCGAGTTGCCTGAAGGTTCAAAACTAGTCGATTGCAAATGGGTCTTTAAGACCAAAAGTGACTCAAAAGGCAACGTTGAGAGATATAAGGCTAGACTTGTTGCTAAAGGATATACTCAAAAGGATGACATAGACTATAAAGAGACATTTTTTCTAATTTCAAAGAAGGACTCTTTAAGAATTG